CAGATCCATCAGGTGCAGATTTCCCAAAATGGGTATGGTCCTGGGTCCCGGGGGAAGATTTGGGGAGCTGTCATTCCAGGAACTGCCCTTCTTCAAAAGGGACATAATTGTAAGCATAAATAGTAATAATATTAAAATTGGTCCAGTCCAATCCATGTCCTTGCAGTAAGCAATTTTCAGTAATAATTACAATGAGCCCTGCAAACTGAAGTGATACAAGCCTGTCTTTCAAAGCTGAGAATGAGGCACTGCCTGGCTACTCTTTCTACTGAATCATCAGACCTTCAGAATTGGCCTTGCTTTCACAGGAATTTGGTCTGAACTAGCCTATGTATGCACGGGATCTATGAAACCTTTGCAAACAAATTTAACCTTATCTGAACTGTGCAACAATCCAACTTTTAGGACAGATGTTAATAATATTTTATAGAGCCTTCCTTTTTCCTGACTGTGCTCCATGACCATCCGCTTTGGATCTGGGGGTCTTCTTTGATTCACAGCTTCATGACTGCTGTCGTGAGGAAGGCTAAGTCTTCCTTAACAAATTTAGTCACTACGGTTGCCACTGATTTTATAATATCCCACAAACTTCCTTTGTAACACGCCTGGTGTAATCCCTTTTCCTGGTATTTGCTGTGTTAGCAAATACCTCTCCTCCCTTCTTTTGCTGCTTTCCTGATAGTAGCCATTTCCTTTCTCCTTCTCCTTCTTCCAAAAAAGGGATAGCCAAAAAGCAGCCTTAGTTTCCTTTTCCTTTCTCTATATCCTTAACTCTTTAATCCCATTCAACACATTCTACAGTTCATGTGTAAGGATCGCTGAATTCGGCGCTGAACAAAAACCTTGTGAGACACAGGCTCGGACGAAAGTTAGTTTACTCAGGCCTAATGTGTAACGGTTACAGAGAAAGCCAGGATTGGCTTGGTGCGGTTCTTTACAGTATTTTATAGGGTTCCCCCCAACCTGTAGTTGCCCCTGGCTCCCCCCCCTCCTTAATGGCAGATTCAGCCAGGTTTCTTTGTCTTCGCGACTGCTGCCTTTTGTCTGCATTGGCGTTGTAATCATGGGGCTTTTCTCATGCGGACAAAACCGGGGTTTTTTAATTGGTTGTCGATCGCCTCTGGATTGCTGTGTCTCCAAAGTATTGTAGTTAGCACTGCCTGGGGCATTTGGGGAAGCTGGTTGCGCTACAAGGTATCCGTTTCTGCCCTGAGTTAATTCTCACCACCTGCCGGCAATTAACTTGCATTTGCCCTGTTTCCCTTCTTTGGCTGCCTTGCCTGAGGCGGTGAAATTGACTAGGGGTGGTGAAACTGAACAGTGGCGCTGGCCGTGCCAGGCTGAATCTGACACCATGAACTTTAATGATGATCCCTTGTCTATTTTAGAAAAATCCAACAATAATTTCTCTTGGAAACCCCAATTTGTTTTATAAGTTCAAAAATGTTTTAAAATAAGCAAAGTCCATAATCAGCTAACCTCTTTTTCCATTTTAAATTTTCATAGTCCACACTCTTAGCAAGCTTTTTGTTGTAGATTATTTTTAAATCCTTGTATTTTTTTTTTCCTTTCTCTTTCCCTTTATTCATGCTCCAGGTCGTAGGAACACTAACTAGAAGTATAGTTTTATTTATTTATTTGCTTAATTTATATAGCTGCCCATCTCACTATTCTGCTGCTCTGAAGATCTATATAGATTTTAAATGGTTATAATGCAAATGTGTTTTAGAAAGTGGGGTTTGGGCAAACCTAGTGTCAGGTTAAGCCCAAGAAACCCCACGAGACAGTTCTGGGACAGCTCAGTTACTTATTAGCTCACACCTGTAGACAGAATCTCGCCAGACTAACTCTAAACTCCCCAAGCCAGCAACTAAACACTAGGAATTCCTTAGGGTGGTGCCAGTCTCATCTTCTTCACTTTCCCATGCTCATGCTGTGGGCTGAGGAGATGCTTCTGTCCTTGACCCCTCTCATTCCATTCTATCACATCACCCCTTCCTCCACCTTCATCCTCTCCCTCTGTTCTCATGAGAACTGGGCAGTGGCGGCAGAGATGAAAGAGCAGGTGATGATGGTCTGTCTGTGTCTCCTGGCTCCTTCCGCAATCCATCTAATGGATCCTGCAAAACAGCTACATCATTAGTAAAATCAGCCCCCTCCCCCCTACAAAATGCAAACTGGAAGTGGAGGGTTGCAGGCTGCTTGCTTCAGCCCTCCCCTCCCCTAAAGCCCCCACCAAATCTTCCTCTAGTGAGCTGTCACCACCCTCTGCCTGCTGATTAACCGCTGGCGTGCCGGGAGGCTTTGGCTTGCTGGGGAAACATCTATGGAAGTCAATGACCAGCTCTGGGGCGTGGACATTCCTTGCATTCTCCCAAGAATGCTCCGCTTCAGGATAGCCCTTCCAATGAACCAGATATTGAAGTCCCTTTCCTCTCCTGCGAGAGTCCAAAATCGCCTCCACCTCGTATTCTTCTTCTCCTTTGACTACAGCCGGAGGGGGTGGGGAAAGCTGCATTCTCAAGGGACTTGGTGGAGCCTCCTTAAGTAGCAAGGAGTGGTGAAAGACCAGATGGACCTTCACTGAAGGTGGCAGCTGCAAACAGAAAGCCACCTGGTTGACTTGCTGCAATACCCTAAAAGGCCTGATGAACCAGTCATCCATTTCTTAGATGGCCTGGTGGAATTTAGAGCTTGGTAGATAACCACACCTTGTCCCCTACTGAAATCTGTGGACCTTTCTGCCTACGGTCATCAGCAGATCTCTTGTACGCCTGCTTCGCCCTTGGCAACTGGTCCTTCAAAAGCATCTGTGCTGCTGCTGCTGCTCTTTAAGAAAATGTGCTGCACCTGGCACCCCTCCTTGTGGTACAGTTTCTGGCAACACTTGTGGGCTTACCTCGTACAATGCCTGAAAAGGGGACATCCCAATCGATGAATGCACCGAATTGTTACAGGAGAACTCTGCCAAGGGAAGAAGTGCAGTCCAATTGTCTTGGCTGTATGTGGTGTAGCACCACACATACTGCTGCAACACCTGGTGGGTCCTCTCCGCCTCTCCATTGGTAGCCGGATGGTGCGCAGAAGGCATGTTGATGCGGACCTTCAACAGCCCAAAAAGAGCCCTCCAGAATTTAGAAGAGAACTGACTGCCTCTGTCACTTATTACCCTATTAACCATTCCTCTGAATCAGAACACGTGATCCAAAAAGAGCTGTGCTGTGACCTGAGCTGAAGGCAGCCCCTTGCACGGTATAAAACAAGCCATTTTAGTAAATAGGTCCACAACGACCAGAATAGATGTACAACCTTTCCCTGGAGGCAAATCAGTAATAAAGTCCATTGACACTGTATCCCAAGGCTTAGGAGAGGTGTCTAAAGGCTGCAACAGCCCAGCGGGCCTCCCATGGAAAGGCTTAGCCCGCCTGCAAACGTGGCAAGATGCAACATAATCTCTAATGTTTGCAGCCATCTTTGGCCACCAATAGTCTCTCAGAATCCTGTGCAGAGTTTTAAAAATGCCCCCATGGCCTGTTGTCTCATTATCATGGCAAAGCTGCAAGACCTCCTCCCGCAGAGACAAAGGAACATATAACCTACCCCGTGCCGGAGTTGCCCCCCTTCCATTGAAAAAGGGGAATCTGCGCCCTGCCGGGCACCCTGGAGGCCATCCATCTGAGCCTTGCAAAAGAGTCTTGCAACTGTTGTGCCTTTACCCTCACCAGTAAGTCCTCAGCCTGCTGAATAGCTCCCACCGCCTCCCCTGCGCTGCCCAAGTCTTTAAAGTTGCAAGGCTGCGTGGCACGCAGCGGCAGCGGTTGCTCGGGAACGTACTCCAGCTTCCGTGAAAGCGCGTCTGGCAACAGGTTACGTGATCCTGGAAGATATGTAATATAAAAGTCAAAATGTGAAAAAAACTGACTCCACCATACTTGCCGAGGAGTGAGAGATTGCGAGCTCTGCATCACTTCCAAGTTCTTATGGTCTGTGCACACCCGCACAGGAAAGCTTGCCCCTTCCAGCCATTGCCTCCATTCCTGAAAGGCTCTTTTAATTGCCAGCAACTCCTTGTTGAAAATATTGTAGTTTCTCTCTGCGGGAGAGATTGTGTGTGAGAAGAAGGCGCACGGCAGCAACCTGCCCCCACTTCCCTCTTCAGCTTGCAACAGGACCGCCCCTATCGCCACGTCAGAAGCATCCGTGTGCAGGACAAACTGGCAGGAAGGGTCGGGGTGAAGGAGGAGAGGCTGGGAGGCAAAAAGCTGCTTTAACTGCTGGAAAGCTGCCTGCTTTCTTTCCACCCAAGCAAACTTCTTCCCTTTCTTTAAGAGCTGCACGAGGGGCTTAACCTGCTCTGCAAAATTTGGGATGAACTCTCTGTAGAAATTAGCAAAGCCCAGAAAACATCCTTCACATTACAGGGTGGGTGCCAAGACAACACTGCCTGCACTTTAGCTGGATCCATCTGCAGCCCTTCTGTTCAAATTCTGAACCCCAAATAATCCAACTGAGGCAAGTCAAATGCACACTTCTCCAGTTTGGCAAAAAGCTTATTTTCTCTCAGTCTCTGCAATACATTTCTAACATGCATCGTATGCGACTCAGCATCCTCGGAATATATCGTCATCCAAATACAGTAAATCACCACATAGGAATCAATTATGTCAGAAAAAATCTGATTCATAAATCTGGAAAACACTGCCCCACAATTAGAAAGCCCAAACGGCATCACTGTGTGTTCATATTTTCCATAACTGGTATCAAAAGCAGTCAGGTACTGATGCCTCTCCTTAACACGAATGAGAAATTGTACACATTTCTAAGATCTAGCTTTGTAAAAATGCGGGCTTTCTGCAGCCGGTCTAAGAGATCTGATATCAATGGCAGAGGATAATGATCCCTTAAGGTCACTTTATTTAGCTCCTTGTGATCATGGACTGTGTGCATAGGAGTCCCTGCGCTCAAAGCAATCCCCAAGGTCTGTGTGTCTGGTTTCTTTGGCACAAAAAACGTGGGAGCAGAAGCTGGAGACTTGGATGGTCTGATAAACCCTTTCCTTAAATTTACATCCAGGTAGTCCTTGAGAATAGCTAACTCTTTTGCAGACATGGGATATTGCCGCTTGGCTGGGATCTTTGCCCCTGGCTTCAAATC